CCGAAGAATCCCATGGAACGAGCGGAAGCCAGATTTCACGTCGAAAAGGCCAGATTCCTCGAAAATGTGTCTCAGGTCCCAGACCAGCCTGCACCACATCTGCATCCGGGGACGCCCGGGCAGCCCTGGGGTCTGAAGACGGGCTCTGGGGGTGAGGCGGGCGATGGCGTCGCCGGCGTGCGCACCCCTCCCCTGTGACCCAGGTTCGAGAGTCTGCAGACTCAGCTGGGCAGCGGGGGCCCGGCTCCAAGGACTCTGGCCTGATGGTCGGAGACGGGGCTCGCGCTCCCCGATGCGTCTCACCAGGTGGGCGTGGGGCCGCCCGTGGGTCCCACAGAGGACGGCTGTCCTCAGGGCGTGTGGCCCGGCCTCCCACCTGTGGCTGTGCCCAGCGGCGCGGCTGCTCTTCCTTTGCCTTCCCCGTGCCTGGCAACCCCCGTTTGGGCAAAGCCGGGTTGCCTTCCTCTCCCCACTGCAGCGGGCGTGTCCTGTTGCTGTAGCTCTCCCCGGCCCTCTCCAGACCCTGCATCTCAACAAATAGCGAGCGGCCAGGGTGGGAGAATGTTCTCCCGCAATCCGTCAGCCCTCCTTAAACCCAACGGAACGGTGCGTGGCCGTGTAATTCCACTGTACGACCCAGGGCACCGACCCCGGGGTGGCAGGCACAGGTATTTTGGGGAGCACTGACCTTCCCAAATATTTATACACCCTCTGCCCGCACGCAACATGGAGTCCTAAGGCATCCTAAGTGCAGCCTGAGAGGGTCCGTGGGAGGGAAAACAGTGGAATCCCTCCATTCCTCTCCCTGGCCCCGATCTTAACAACAAAAATGCCAGTGTCTAGCTCTAAAAGAAATAGCTGTTCTTACGGAGAAAGTTCTCTTTGTTGCGCATTGACAGAGTCAGACTCGCAGGAGGCTCACAGACAGCTAGAGCTGTGGAAGGTAGAAGCAAGGTCCTTGGCCGTGACACCTTGGTTGGTCTTCCTGGCGGCCAGCCCCCATCCTAAACCTGTTGGCTGACCCATGAGTTGGAACCGTCGGGCAACCTCATGGCTTTTGTATCTCCCGGGTTATAATATTCCTCGCCATGTCCACTGGCCTGGAAGGAAAGGCACCTCAGAACTCTCTGTCTTTCCCATGGCTCATGATTCCAAGCTGGACTTTGGGGAGATCGTGGTCCCAGCACAGAGAAGGCATTTGTGGGGAATGTTTACTTTGTGGGGACACAAGCCAACTGGCCTGATCAGGCAGGAAAATTCTAGATTGAGAATGGGTGACGGGCACTGAGGGGGACACTTGACGGGATGAGCACTGGTGTTATTCTGTATGTTGGTAAATTGAACACCAATAAAAAATTAATTTATTAAAAAAAATTAAAACAGCACAAAAAGCAAAAAAAAAAATTCTAGATTGAGACTATAAGTTGGGGAGTCATATCACTTATCATCTAACCCAGGACGACTTCAAGAATGCAAGGAACTGGGGCCTTGGAGTCTTCAGACTTGCAGCTGGCAGGAGAAGACGTGCAGGGGCAGAGGGCTGTGGTCGAGTTCAGAAGGGCCAGGCCTGGGAGCACACGCCTCCCTTCTCCCTGCCTCCCCACTGCGTGGGCAGGGTCGAGGCACATGGCCACGCCTAACTGCAGTGGGAAGCATCCAGTGGCTGTGCGCCCAGTGGGTAGACAGGGGATGGGGTCTTTCATGAACATAGAGCGGACTTCACCGGGCTGTTCTACAGCAGGCCACCCCAGGGCCTTCACATCTGCTGTTCCCACCGTGCAGACTCCCCTTGCCCCAGACAGCCTCCCGCCTTGCTCCCAACATTCCTGCGGGTCTCTGCTTAGAAGACACCTTAACAATAATAATAATAATAATAAATAAATAAATAAAATAAAATAAATAAAATACGACACCTTAACAGAGAGCCATAATAATAATAATAATAATAATAATAATAATAAATAAATAAAATAAAATAAAATAAAATAAAATACGACACCTTAACAGAGAGCCAGGCCCACCAACCCCGATGAGAGAGTGACCCCTCGCTTGGGCCCTGCTCTCCCCATCTCCCAACTACTGAATAATCATTTAGCGGGTCAAGGCCCTTCTTGACTACATGAAAAAGAAGCAGACTCTAACGGAAAATAAGAGTAGCAGGCACTCATCCAGCCAACAAGAAGGCTGGAGAACCACACATAGGGAATTAAGTGATCAAGCTCCGACCCGGTTACAAGGAGAATGTGCTCTGGATGCTATCACCCTGGACACTCACTGCCATGCCACCCGTTCTTGGTTTCCCCTTGGAGTCACGCTGTCAAAGGTGGGGGCATCTGCATGACTTCTCGTCAAAAGCTGATACTCAGTCACCAGGGGACAAAAGCAGGAGCTACCTCATGGGAGATGGGGCCTTGATTCCCACCTGTCTGGGTGAGAGGGGAGAGGTGTTACTGGAACCCAGGTAGCCCATGCAGGAAACATCTGCCATAGCCAGGTTTGGAATTCTGGGTTGATGGCATCGTTCTCAGGGTATTAAACAGCTTATGGTGTGTATTTTTGTTGCAAAGCAGTTGGCTGCCCATCTGCTTGGTGTTCCTCTGTGGCTCATTTTCTTTTTATCTTCTGGTAAAGATAAGAAGAATTACCAGAATTCTCTTAAGAATTCCTCTGCATTTAATATATACTCCAGTGTCACCATGTGCGGCCAGGTAGGAATTTATTTACTCTGCTCAGGACTCACTGAGCCTTTTCAATATGAAAACCCTGGCCTTCCTTCACTTTTAGAAAATTCCCACGCATTCCTGTATTCAAATATAACTCCCCAATATTCTCTTCAGAAGCTCCTATTGGAAATGCATTGGACTTTTCATTCTGTCTTTCATTATCTCTTCACAGAGAGAGAGAGAGAGAGTTCTATTTTCAAGCCATGGTACTCCAAGCTGTATTTGGGGGCATTTCTTCAAATTCGTTGTTCACTTCTTTAATCCTCTCTTCATTGGTGTCTAATCTCCTATCTAACCCATCCATTTCATTTGTCTCTCCAGCAGAATTTTATAAAGTTCTATTTTCTTGTCTTTCACATCCACGTGTTCTTTTGGCCCGTTGTTTATCCAAAATGTCCTTGCTTTAGGGTTTCTGTTTCTTATTTTATCCCTTCCATTAGATATTCGTTTTGTGACCCCACTCAGGGATGACCCTTGCCTGCGGTCCCTGTATTTTCTCTTCTATCCTAACTCTCCTTTTGGGACAGTTCCTTTGTGTGCCTGCTGTTTTCTTGAGGGATTATTTTCAGCAGGAGGTTCCTGTCTTGCTTTGTAGATGGTGGGTAGTGGGTGGTTTCTTGTTTTTTTGTTTTTTCGTTTTTTACAGAGAGTCTTCATCGTGAAAATCTCCCTCCGGGGTGGCTTTGCATTCAACTTCTGGGTACTTGAAATTACAGCTTGGGTTGCCCTGCAAGCTGAAAAGACAGGAAGGGAGCATGAATAAAGTTAGAATGAGCAAATCACCTTCAAAAGGTGGCCGGTCTCTCCTCCCCGGAGAGCTGACAGCTGTGTCCGTGCCCTTTGATTCTCTGCCTTCCAAACTCGTGAGATCTGCACGCCCCATCTTACTTCAGGGCCTAGGCGTCCAGGTAGCAGGGAACCTAGGTCAAGTAGGCTTTCAACAATTAGGTGATTTACTGGCTCGTGTGATTAAAAAGGGCAGAGGTGGCGGGCAAGGGACCTCCTGCTCTTGTATCCATCGAAGTCCGTTGTAGATCAAGAAGCTTTCTCTGGAGTCTTGGGGCGCTTGGGTAGCTCAGTCTGTTCAGACCCTTTCTCTGGAGGCTACTTCTGATGTCTCTGGACACCAGCACAGGATGGATCCTTTGGCCTCATGGTTCACTATGACAGTAGTTCCTAAAGCCAGTCGCAGGCCCCTCTGGCTCAAACGCCTTCACAGGCCTACTTTAATGCCTCTGGTAGAAAGTCCAGTTGATGCTGGTTGCCATTCCAGGTCACTCATTTCCCCGGCTTTATCTCGCCTGACTCATCGCCCCATGTCCTTACAACTCATTCCACCAGAACCAGTCACTTTTTCTCTTGCTCCCACCCTTAACCGTGACCCTTCTCTGAACTCCCCGTGGGACTCCCCAGACACCTACCCGTAGCATCCACATTGTTTTGGGTGAGTTCATGGTCTCACGCCACTCCTTGAGGCCTCTGAGTTCCTGGAGGGAGCCAGCCTCCTGTTCCCCGTGGCGCCCAGCACAGGACGCCTCCTAGGAGAGCTGCTCCCGCTGGCCTGAATGGTCCAGGTGCTCCCACACTCCTCTAGGTGAGGCCAGGCTCGCAGCGGCTGCCCCGCGCAGGCCAGGTGTGCACATCCCGCGTAGTTCCACCAGGCTCCACTGTCCCAGGAGCCTGTGGTTCGGTGCAGGTCAGCGGCCTCAACGCTGGAAGTGAGACTGGGGACGTGATCTCGACCGCGGGGTGTCCCTCCCTGGCAGGCTCCCGGGCCTCTCGGTTAGGCCCTGCTGCATTGCCCTCCCTTCAGGCTGCTCTCCTGTGAGGGCCCAGCTCTCCCACAGCCCCGGTGTGGCCTCGAGGCTGTCCCTGTGGGAATCACAGCACATCCTACCTAGGGTAGTTGTCTGGTGAACACGAGGTCTCCCAAGTCAGGAGCCCGAGGAGGGCTTCAGGGCATCCCGGGTGCCCCCTCTGCAGGCCTTGCATACAGCAGAGGCTCACAGCGGACATCCACTCAAGTCCGTGATCATGTACCGGGTGCCAAGTGGCCCAGCACTTGCACCTGCATGGACAAGGTGGCCTGAGTGAGGCCACTGAGAGCCTGACAGCTGTTTGGGGACCACACGTGTATCTAGCGGGGGCGTCGTTCCCCGCCGTCATGCGCCTGGTACGGGGCCTGGCCCACAGGCGCCCCTGCCCCCCGCCCCACGTTAGTGGTGAAGTGAAAGAGTGGATGAGCTGATGGGCGCATCTTCTGCTCTCCTCTGACAGATTACAACAGCAGTGAGTTGAAAACGGCCTGCAGGAAGCATGAGCTGTATGTGAGCTTCCAAGACCTGGGATGGCAGGTGAGTTCTCTGGACAGCAAGGGAGACCAAGGCCCTTCCCTCTTGATGGCAGCGGCTGTCCTCGAAGATCTTGAGCTTGAGGGCCCAGGTGATTCCTCATGGGACGGTACCTGCGAGCTCTTCCGGAGGCTGGGCTTCCGGCAGAAGGCGGATGAAGGGCCAGCCTCCTAGTGCCCCAACGACCCCCGCCCCGCCCCCAGCAACCTTCCCAGGTAGCCAGGTTCCCACGTTCTGTGTACGTCAGAATCAATCCCACAGCTCCCGGTGCTCTGCCCCTGGTCTTTCAAAGTCCATGAGGCACGTACGGACTTGGACCTTGTTGGTGTTTTGAGAAAGGGTTGGAGAAACTCCTCTAACGGTCCAATGGCTCTCAATGGACTCCTCCGAATTATCTAGAAGAGCACGGACGATTAGCCCCACACCTGAGAACCACCACTAGTTTCTGAGAAGCGAGTTACAGGTGACGAGTGATAGGAAAGAACGTCCATAAGCAGGTGGCATTATGATGACCGCTCCTGTGGGTCCAGGTGCGTTAAGCACCCACCTGTGTGCTCCCAGGCCTAGCAGGTGGGTAGCGACTGAAGGCTTTGTGGGCCTGCGGAGGGAGAGAAGGCTCTGGAGCCAGATAGGCGAGGCTCACGCCCTAGCTTTTGCCGCCTGAACATGAACTTGGCCTCCCAGGGTTTGTGTGCCCAGCTGTCCCGGGCGAGGGGTATCCGCTCCCAGGATTCCTGAGAGCACAGATGACGTAAGAGGCACATGCTGATCGTAGGTTGTGTCTCTTTGCCTTCAACTAAGGACTGGATCATTGCACCCAAGGGCTATGCCGCCAACTACTGTGATGGAGAATGTTCCTTCCCACTCAACGCGCACATGAACGCGACGAACCACGCCATCGTGCAGACGCTGGTGAGCACCCGGGGGCCCCTTGCACGCAGGGAGGAGGAAGCCACGACCAGGTGTGGCTCCTTAACGGTGCCTCTCCCCTTCTGTTTGGCAACAGGTCCACCTCATGAATCCTGAGTACGTCCCCAAACCGTGCTGCGCGCCAACTAAGCTGAACGCCATCTCCGTTCTTTACTTTGATGACAACTCCAATGTCATCTTGAAAAAATACCGGAATATGGTTGTCAGAGCTTGTGGATGCCACTAACTCCTCAAAACCAGCTGCTGGGGACACACACACAGCCTTGGGTTCCCAGATAACATCTGCCTTAAAAAAACAAAAAACAAAAAAAAACAAAAACAAAAAAAAGGAGGACGGGGACGGGGGAGGCGCGGCCTTGAAGGGGCCCCAGGCCGGTTGGTGCCCCGCTGCCCCAGCGGCTTCCCAGGGCCTCCGAAGAATTTGCTCACACGGTCAAGGGCGCGGGTAGTCGCTGGTGTGCGGGGAGCAGGGTTTGGACGTCGGCGGTAGAGTCTGGTAACGACAGAAGCATCGCTTTGAGGCCCCCCCCCCAAGAGCCCACCCAAACTAGCTTTAGCTTTAGATGAAGCTATTTGTGGTGTGAGTGAACAGGGGAAATGACCCTAAGAGGAGGAAGAGTGATCTTGGCTGAGGCGCCGGCCCGGTCCGGAGTTTGTCACAACTGGAACTGGGTGGGGGGCTGCCCCCCCGAGAAGGGCAGTTCATGCAGGTGTGCGGCCCAGGCCGCCCCCGGGGCCGCGTGGAAGTGCCTTTTCTGTCGCTGCCCTTAGCAGGGTGGAGGCCCGCGGGTGTGGGACACAGATTTCGGTTGAGCAGCTGTGTCACTCCCACACCTCGGCCCGTCCCCCCATTGGTGGCCCCGCACACCGGTGCTGGCCACGGACCGCGCCCCGAGGCCGGCCCTGCCCCTCTCGGGTTCTGGAAAAAGCACATTAGCCCCAGGAAGGCCGGCTCTAGGATTTCACCCATTTCAGGAAAACGGTCCCTTGCCTTTTCCTCGACCGCGTGCCGGGTGGCGGGGTCAGACCCAGCAAAGGAGAGGAAACGAGGAAGGCGACCCCCGCCACCAGGAGGGGTCCAGCGGGCTTGCCCTTATGAACCCGAATCCCAGTTTCTCTTGTAGAAAGGAAGACTCGGAAGAAACCGTAGAATATTTTTAAAGTGTTTTTTCACAATCATGTACTAGGAAGCCAATTTCATACTAAACTGATTAAATAATACATTTATGATCTAAAACTGTTTGCACTTACAGCTTTTTTGTAAATATAAACTATAATTTATTGTCTATTTTATATCTGTTTTGCTGTAACATTTAAGGAGAGACCAGACTTTTTTTTTTTTTAAAAAAAGAGTTTATTTAGAAAGTATCATAGTGTAAACAAATTGTACCACTTGGATTTTAATACAAGACTCATGATGCAAAGCTGAAGCCACTCATGAGGATTGTGCTTCTCTAGAAAGTTGGGGTTTTAAGAGGACATCTGTGAACCATACATAATTAATAAAGATTTCCTTTAAGGCAGAGGCTGGCCGAGATCCTGCTCTGTGGTCTCCTGCCCCAGACAGCAGACGTGGTTCTGTTTCTCAGAGTCCCACCACCAGTTACTGGGTGTCCACGGACCGCACCCACCCCGAGCATGGGAAGTGGGGCAGAGCGTGTGGGAAATGGAGGGTTGTTATGAGAAGGGAGTCGATGGCAAAGGACATACAGGTCCGTATCCTAAGGGAGCCTAGCCCGAAGGGAGCCTATTTTCCAGTGTGAAATGCTCAACCGCCAGGACGGCGTGGCTTACACTGGTTCCGCACGGGTGGCGACGTGGCCTGTGCCGCCCTGGCCCAGCACCCCCACCCCCCACCCCCCACCTCAGTCTTTGGGTCTTGAGGCCAACTTAATCGCGCTCTCCCCATGGCGGAGAGCAGCCCAGTCAGCCTCTCAATGACTTAGAAGCAGAATCTGGAGCCGCTTCCAGCGGGGGCTCCGCAGAGCAGAGCGGGGCTGGAGGGCCTCCCCGGTCCCCGTACCCAGGTGGCAAATCCAACCAGAAACGTTCTGGGAGGTGACAGGACAGTCAGGACAAGCCTCGTGGAACTTCCTTGCCCACATTTTCTGTGGGAGATGTCAAGTCTTAACGTTCACATGGACTCTAGGCTTCATGAGGACCTAACTAAAGACATCTCTCATGAGATTTCCCATGACTGACAGAGGCATCCACACACACGCACACACACGCACACACACGCACGCACGCACACGGTTATGGCACCAACATTCTCTTATTCAGGCACGTGTCAGAAATCCCACTGCTCTCATTACAATGGCTGAGCTCTGCGATGAAAGAAGCGTTGAGAGAGGCAGCAAAGCCGGGGGTGGGCGTGGAGGTATCTTCCAGAGGCCTGGGGTTTCTGTTTTTAGATCTGCTCCAAGCTAGTGACCAAGCACGCGATCAGTCAGTTTTGCCCTTCAGATCAGAGGAACAGCACTACTGCCGCCTTTCCAGAGCTCGTGGGCAGTTCACCAGCGATGCTTTAGAGGATGCTTTCACCAGATCACTCAGGAGCCAAAAATAGCTGGGCAATTTGATTTTCCTCAACTCTATTTTAGTCTCAAAGGAAACCATTTAGATTCATCAAGAGAAGGTTGAAGGGGACGACAGATCGGCCACTGAAAATATTTAGTTTGCGAAGGGACCATGAGTTACACGTTTACTTAGAGAAACTTAGTAAAGAATCTGTAGAGTGTGTTGGCTTAAAAAACACACACACAAAGAGGATACCACAAGTTTAGTACATTCAGCTCTCTGAAAAGCCACCAGGAGAGCCTCCACGGCACCCGTGCGGTTCCGCTCCGACGGCCCGGGCGCGGGTTTTACAGCTCATCTCTGGCCTGTCGTAGGACAAACTGGTGCAGGGAGTCCAGGTCTCTGCTTCCATTGTGCTCGCTGACTTTCTGTCCTCCGCGGAAAAGCAACAATGTGGGGTAGCCTCGTACCTTAAAAAAAAAAAAAAAAAAAAAAAAAAAGATGAAAACCAGTGGTCCAGGTCACATACGGATTGTTTCTTAAATAAAACCAGAAAAGCTCCTATCGTCGTGACCGGGAGAGCTCGTGGCTACATTCTTGAAAGGTATGTACCGTTTAAAAAGTATATTAAAAAAAAAGCAAAGAGCAAAGCCTTGGGGGCTCTTCTCTTTCCCATCCAAAAATACACTCAAGACTAATGTCAAAGAGAGGACGCCACCCAAAAGGGGAGCGTCCGGAGCTTTCGTGCACAGGCTGCCACCCGGAGCCCTGGTGCACAGGCACATTCCGATGCAGGGGGCCAGGTGGGCCTGGGGCTCTGCATTCCCGGCAAGCTCCTGGTGAATCCCCCCACCCTGGGGGCCCCGTGGTGTGGCAGCAACATCCTTGAGGATATGTTTTCCAGGTGCAACGCACTTCTTTTCTAAGACTAAGGTACCAAAAAAAATAAGATCTTCTTCTAAGAAGTTTTTTTTTATTTAAGATTTTACTTACTTGGAGCCTACTCGAGAGCAGGGGAGGAGGAGACAATCCCAAGCAGACTCCCCACTAAGCGGGGCTCGACCTCACGACTCTGAGGTCATGACCTGAGCGGAAACCAAGAGTCTGCCGCTTACCTGACTGCGCCCCCCGGGCGCCCCCACATCTACTCTCAATCTAACGAGGGAGGAAACTCCAGGGCCTCCAAATGTTTTAACAAGACACCATAGAAACAAAAACGTCAATTACAAATCTTCTGGGTGCGCGGATTGTGCTGACGGCTCAGAGAGTGGGCGACAGCCCAGTAAGCAGCCCGGGTGCGGTCTGGCTTGCTGGGACGGCCCTTTCAGGAGGAAGTGCAGCTGCTTCCCTTACTGAGAACATGGGCTTAGGTCTGCAAAGTAATCCACTCGAGGGTGAGACGAAGGCTACCCGTCCGCCGACTGCTCGGCCAGCCAGAGCGGCCGCATAGGGGACACCCCATTCTCAAGCCTGGAGTCCACTGCGCCATCTCCTATGCAAACAGCAAGACCCCAAATCCCCCCATGAGGACAGGTGGAGAGCTCATGGAAAAAAGCCCTTCCTTTGACTCAGCATCTCTTGCTTTTCAAAATGAACACAAAGCGGGAACCTCACAAGGACACAAGCAACACTTCGTTGAGAAGCTGAGGGCAGCGTGGGTCACCCTGGTGACGACCACCTCAGACGATGGCTCCATGTGGGCACCGCCCTCCCCACCAGGGCTCCCGGGGGGCTTTCCACGCACATGTACCCACCGAGTACTTGCTGCAGATGCTCCGTTCAGCAGTACAGTCCACCTCCGCGATCTTGACCTCTGCCAAACCAGGGAATTCCTTTCTAGAGAGTTCCTCCCACGTGGGAGCTAGATTCTTACAATGACCGCACCTGGGAAGAGAAGGACACAGCTTTGTGGGAGCCCTGGGTCAGGCTGGCTCCCCTGCAGCTTGCCGCCAAACGGAGCCTTGTTTCTGCCGTGAGAGGCAGGCAGCCATTGCCTAGAAGTTCGTAAAACATCAAATTCGCCCACGGGAGCACTAACGCTTCCTCCTCCTCCGTCCCAAACATGGAATTCAGTCAATCCGAAGCAGACTTTTGGCTAACCCGGTAGCAGCAAAGCTCGTGTGGAAGCAAGTTTCGATTCTGAGACCCTTTCCAGGACAGTAAGCGGAGCGTACTGGCCCACGCAGGAGCTGGATGCAACATGAGCACAGGCGACACACAGGAAGCCAAACCAACTCAATGCATTTAAAAAAAAAAAAAACAACACTTCATTTTAGGTTTGATTGCTATGGTCCCAAGTTCAAGACCACCTTAAGGCTTCCCTCGCACTTCATCTGCTTGGTGCGAGCACTGAAGCCAATGCCAAGTTCGCACCAGCCTGCCCTCCTACCCATGACAACGCCCCTTCACTGAAAAGGGAGCTCCTGTCCTCAGATTTGACCTATATAGCCTAAACACTTTAAAAAAAAATAGAAAATAGATTTAAAGGTATCATTTACTAGTGATTCTATTGTTAAATGATTATTTTAGAGAGAGCGAGCAGGGGGAGGGGCAGAGGGAGACGGAGAAGCCTCAAGCAAACTCCCCACTGAGCGTGGAGCTCAACGTGGGGGCCGATCTCACTGTCCTGAGCCAAAATCAAGAGCTGGATGCTCAACTGACGGCGCCGCCCAGACGCCCCTTGTGTTTCTATTCACTAGGGACAAACCCTGCACAACTCCCACAAGTCACAGGCTCACTGACTTCTTATCTCTGCCACTGTGGTTTCTCACAAACACCCAGAATGGAACAAACTGCAGAGAAGTGACACGGTGGTGGGCTTACTCGTTCGTGTTTAGAAAGAGCATCTCACACTCTCCTCGAGACTCTGCTTTTCTAAGGGAGTTTGAAGACAAAGCATCCTTCCCCTTTTACAGCTGAGGAAACTGAGCCTCAGAGGATAGGGAGGGCACGCGGACTCTTGGCCCCTGCCACCTGTCCCGCTTCAGGTGGCCCTGGGCACCAACCAGGCGTCCTCCCTCTCTGCCTGGGTCCCGAGGACCATGTGGCAGGAAGGTTCGGCTCACCGGGTAACCCCCGGAACGGCTCCACCAGAGCTCTACTGGATTGCTCTACGACGTCCGAGAGGCCACGGAGTGAAGCTACGTCATGACGCTCGTGGTTTGATGGACTTAACCAAAAAACAATCAATCTATTTGGAAAAGGACAGATACCACAAAACCTAAGCTGTCACGTGGCCTAATTCTCCGTTTTCATGTTTTCCCCCGAATAGACTGAACTTTAAAATAAACTGACCTCCTCCTCTATAGATAACTGCTTGTGGACACCACCAAACCGGCCTCAACCAAGCTGAACGGAGGCGCCCACAGCCACCTCTTACTTCCTACAACAGAACCTGTGTGTATAGGGGGCCCCCGCCAACGCCGAGCAGAGCGCGCTGGCCAACAAGCGGGAGGCGACGATGGGACTCCAGCGCCGGGACAGAGAAGTTTCTAGGTAAACAGCCACTTACCACGGAGCATAAAACTTGATGAAGGTTAATCCTTCTGCAATGGTGTCCTCGAAGTTCTTCTCCGTGAGCGCCAACACCGTGCCCTGCAGGGGGGGGGCGGTTCAAATGCATCCCTTAGGCAGAGCAGGGCCGTGCTTCGGGGTAGCAGGAACACACATCGAGAATCTTTTTAAGATGCTGTCATGCGTGCTCCAGGGCCGCGCGAAAATATGCAACTTGCATTTCACAAGCTACACCAGAAGGGCCAGGGGTTCGTCACAGCTTCCCCAGGTCCTGAGCCCCGGAGGAGGCAGGACGTGGTCCTCAGCCAGCCCGAGTGGGTTCGGGTGCCGCTGCCACTCTCCGGGGCTCTGGGGTGCGGCCCGGTTGGCTCTGCGTGGCCTGGGCTCCGGTCTACACCTCCCAGGCTCGGAGCCCCCAGCCCCCGCAGCAGGGGTCCAACACCCCGACTCCCTGGCCCACCTGACGTGGCGCACATGCCGTCCTCGCCGGCCCTCCGGCCCCCCAGCACACGGAGCTATAAAAGTTCTCTGCGCACTGACCTTACCACGGACAGTCCCGAAACCACAGGCAACGGTGCATGTTTTACGTATCACAGGCTGCTTTCTGGTTTTAAATTCAAAGTAAATGTGCCAACCGCTGATCGTTCTGGCTGGGCAATGTCGGGGGAAGGTGCCACACGGCAGCCTGCTCTAAAGCCATGTTTAGCCTTTGACAGGGCTTTACGGAATTACGTCCGTGGGTTTTTCCAAGAATGGATCTGCGCTTCTCTCATGAGAGCAAGAACGTGATGATTTATCGTGTGATAAGCGTGATAAACATCGTGTGACTAAACGCACAGGGCTGCTCCCCTTGAGTCTGGCATCGAGTAACGCGTGTCAGTGATTCGAGGGCACAGCCCGCCCGGGCGGCTGGAGAGCACCTCCAGCTTTCTCTGTGTCCAGAAAGACAACACCGCGCTCCCGGAGAGGCCTACCTAATGCTGGCAAAGTGAATTATAAACGGAAGCTGTTCGGTATATAACGATACTCAATTTGGGGTGACCTTCATAACCACCGTGACACACACGCTCCCCTAACATACGTGGTCGCGGCTACTACAAAATCTGTTGTTTGCTTCTCAGACCAAAACGTCAACTTGGAACCAACACCCAGGTCGTCCCCAACCTAAGAATCCAAGTCAGGGATGGGCTGTGGGGGTGAGGAGGCCCATCCCTGTCCCCACTCTAGGAGGACGGGGGAGAGAACTCGGTGTTTTCCGATTCCACACGACGACGGTCCAGGGAGCAGTGGTCCCGGCGAGCCAGGATCTGTTACGTAAACGCTGAGGGTTCGAGAGTTGTTGGGGGGGAGGGGGAGGGGGCTGGTGTCTGCACACTCACTGCCCCGGCCCCACGCAACCAGGCCACGCTGCCCCTTCTTTGCCCACCCTGTCCCAGTGTCCCAGCTAAGAACCTGGCGTGCCATGCACGACAGTCGTATGAGCTTGAACATTCTGTTCTGGAAATAGGTTGACAGGCTTTATGGCTCTCAGGTAGGCAGGCAATCAAGCACGGGTTTTCTAGGAGGACAGGATTTTGAGTCTCTGGAGAATGTCCTTTGCGCCCACGGCTTCGGCCTTGGCCTCTACCTAACGCTGCAGATGCAGAAGCCTACAGGTGTCCGCTCCAGGGCCCCGTCTAACTGTCCGCTAGACCCCTCGGCCTGGTCCCCACCACAGCCCTGGAAATCAGCAACTCGATACCTGAACTCCCCCCACCCCCCGCTTCTCTCACACGTGGTGTGCACCGTGGCTCGCCAGGTTCACTAGAGCGCCAGGCGTCCCCCCCAGACACGCCACCTTCCCGACTGTGCTCGGCAGAGCGGGGCTCCTTCCGCCTCCTGCCTTCTCCCCTCTGCCCCCACCACGGCCTTAGCTCGGGGGCTGCTTCATCCTGCGGCCCCAGTGCGCTGGTTTTCCGTCTCTTTCTGCCAAGCATCTAAAATGCAAATCTACTCATACCTTCCCCTGGCTCCCAATACGTACAGGGTGAAGCTCACAGTCCTGGGCCGGCCGACACAGGCCTCTGTGACCCCTCCCCCGACTGCCGGCCGCCCCAGCCCCACGCATGCCCGGCTGCGGCACACCGACGGGCTCCCGCTCTCTCCTCCGTCGGACAAGCCTTGTCTCTCCGCACCCACTACGGCTCTCCGGCAAATACCAGTGCATCTTTCAGTTGGTGACACTCCCCGCCCGCCTGCCCCCAGCTCCCACAACAGCCCTGACCGGCCTGGCACGCACGTGCGGGTCGCAGCCCCAGGGCCTCTCTTTGTGTGTGCCGCCCTCCGTCTGCCCCACCAGGGGGGAAGGCGCTCTTATTTGCTTTTGTTTCCTGGTGGCCCGGGACAGTGCCTGAAATGTGCTCAAAAAATGCACGAGTGAATCCAGAACCCTCTACTCTGAATGAAGGCAGCACGGCAGTGAGTCAGAGACGGCCGGCCTCAGCAAACAGAGTGCGATAGGGCCAGCGGCCTCTCAGGCTTTGCTGCTGCAGATCTTTCAGGGCCTTTCCACAGGGTTCAAATTACTGCAGCAGGTTCTGAAGATGAACAGAGGTGGGGCCCTAACTGGCGGCAGCCGATTTTCCTAGCAAATGCCCTCAAATGTAGCGCTTACCGAATCAAAGGGAGGAGCTTTTCACAGCCTTTGCCACCAGATGCTCCCAGAATTTGTCTCCCAGCGACTTCAGAGAAGCTGGTAGGTTTACCCCTTACCAGCATGTGCGAGCGGCCGAAGAGCACGTTCACGTGGAGACGTCAGCAGCGGGCACCCACCTGGAGACTGTGACCTGCCCCCCGATGCCCCGTCGCCCGTGGTGCTGGAGCAGAGGAGCTGCCGTGGGCCCTCCCGACCGCAGCGACCAGCCGGCTGCACCCAGTGGCACCCAGCAGCACCCACCTGCGCCACGGGCTCAGCAGCTGCCACCGGGGCCTCCGACGGCTGGACGGTCTCTGGGGCCTCGCGCTCGGCGCTCCGCAGCTGTGACTCCACGTACTCTCTCAGGGACTCCAAATCCCGCTTCCCCTTGTACTGGTCGATCTGTCCGAGGAAAGGGCCACCCAAAAAGGCCGTCGGGTTAGCACACCTGGGTGCTCCGCTCAGAGCTCACCCCAGCCGGCCGGCTTCACGAGGCCGTCATGGGGGCGCTGTGTGGAGCCACGCTCCTAAGCGGGGTGGTGGGGACCAGGCCGAGCGGGACTACTCCGCTCTTTGAGAAGCTGGCCGTCGGCCAGGGGCGAGCACCTTCCCGGGAGCCCACCTTGACCCCGCTTGGGGACCGTGACCCGCCCGCAGCTACAGCAGGGCAGCTCATGTGGTGCTACCTTGAGCCAACGGAAACGTTTCCAAACGGGAGGACCACGGACAGGTTTTGTCCACCACCCACACCTTATCAGGTAAGGGAGCAACACCGGTTCCACCATCACCTAAGCCTCAAGCCCGTGCCCAGACGAACCACACTGGCAGGTGTCACGGCCGTGAAGCCACCGAGCAGCAGCCCGCTGCAGGGAGGGCAGCCCCGGCCCCGCGGACGTACCTTCTGTCCGTCTCGGAACCACAGGAGAGCAGGGTAGCCGCGGACCTGGTTCCCCGAACAGAGTTCATAGTGCTGCGTACAGTCAACCTGAACACAAAGTTAAGACCACAGTCACCGTGCGTTTCTTCAGGAATCTTCCTGCCACACCGATTGCCGGGTCCGTGGCACCCCTGCCAGCAAGGTGCAGTTTGGGGACAGACTTCCTAAGAGCCACCCCAGGGTCCACCTGAGCTGAGGGAGCAGGGTGGGGAGATTTAGAGAAACGACTCAGCTCACCTACGCGTGCCAGTGCTGGGTTAACATTTTACCTGGAGCTGGTGAGCAGAACGAAAAGGGGAGCCTAGCCTGACGTCTGGGGACGGGAGGCCTGGCTGTGGGTGACAGAGGCCCAGGCTGATGCTAGCCTGCAGATTTACCCTCACGCTCCAACCTAGGGAACTGTGGAATCAAGGAGGAGCAAGCAGTGAATAGGAATATTTGGGGGCCCTTGGGTGCTCAGTGGGTTCAGTGTCTGCCTCTGGCTCAGGTCATGATCTCAGGTCCTGGGATGGAGCCCCGCGTCGGGCTGCTTGGAGGGGAGCTGCTTCTGCCTCCGCCCGTTCGCACATGCTCGCATGCATGCGTGCGCGCTCTCTCTCTCAAGTAAATAAAATCTTAAAATGTATATAAATAGCAGTACTTGGTATAAAGATAACTGAAAAGACATCAAATTAAGGTTATATTATGTTCTTAGTTCTATGAACTCAATTCACTATCACAACTCTTTAAATTTATTTCATTTAAATCTTTTCAAGATTCTGTTCAACGTTTCCATGAAACATTTTATCCTAAGTCACTTCTTTCTGATTGTCTCCTGGCGTTAAAATCAGCTAGAGGGACACTAAGCTGTTCTTCACTGTGTCAAAAAAGTAGGATGAAAATATCACTTTCACACACAAGACTGAAGTCAGCAGGAAGATTATTAAGGGGAAGCCCAGGAGGCCCAGCCTGAAGTCGGGGGTGGGGGGTGTGGGGGGGTATGACGTGGGTCCAGGCTAACCCGGCGACCTGGCCGCCTGCGGGTCCAGAGATGAAGAGCCCCAGCCTGGAGGGACAGACTGTGCCGCTCATGCCTGACTCTACCAGAAACCTCTACTAACACAAACTGGAAGTTCTGTCCCATAAAAACTCATAAAGTAATTTAAGGATGCAAGGAATTGGGAAGATAAAAGACAAGAAAATTCTGACCACTTCCATGAAATGTTTACTAACCACAAAAGCATAACATGTATAACTAGAATATGTAATCGAAAGTATTTCAATCCACTGAACTCACAACAACTCTTACAGTTCACCAGGCATGTGCCTCATGCCACGCGTCCCACGAAGCATCTGACTTTCACCCGCACCACCCGCCACATGTCAGGTCTCCTCGCGCTTTTGCCCAGTGGGGAGACCGAGGTGTGGAGTGGTGGCCGAGGGCTGGCCGAGGGCTGGCCGGCCAGGTCTACCCGGCTCCTAAGCTCACACTTCGGACCGTCTCCCTGTACTGGGCGGAGCATCTCATTAACTGCAGTTCCTGGACACGCAGCATTACTTCTGTAAACAAATCAGCCCGCTGGCAAAGCGAAAAATGGGATTTTCATAAAAGGAAACCCGTGCCTGGATGTCTGGTGGGTGCTAAAGGCTGGGTGAGACTGAAAGTGTTTGACGGTCCAGGAGCTGCTCTGGATATTTCCAGAAAATCCACTTACACAGAAGTTGTTAGACACCATTTCTGGCTTCTCTCCGCAAAGTGGGGGAAGCTGGAAAGACTCCCAGGCAGCAGGGAGAGCGGGGCTCACCGGAGGGGGCCCTTGTGCAGGCCTCTGTGAGCACGGAGCTCAGGCTCCTCTCGGTGACAGCTCTTGGGTGAGGTCAAATGTGGATGGCCTCCAAGTCCGGCCAGCGAGCACTCACGAAGGCTGTGCCCCGTATCTTTGCAGGAAGGGCTCTGGGGCTGCCAATTCAGAATTGGCCATTGCTTCAAAATAAACAAAGGAGCCAAAGCCATAATTTATCTGTAGGCTGTGGAAAAGCCAGCACATTTGAAACCAGCCTGCCATCTGTGAAGGCGAAATGAATTATCAAGTGGCACACTAAATGGAATTAATAAATCACGTTTGCGACTTTGCACACAGAATGAATAATGGGCTACTCTGCTAATTAATCCAGCCAAAGGCGGTCTATTTCCAGGGTAATAAGGGCTTTCACTTACCTTGCCAATCTTGACAGTTTCAGAATGTTCAAGGCCCAGAGCCAGCTGCTCCCAGGCTGGAGCCAGAGCTTTGCAGTGACCACACCACGGAGCGAAGAACTTGATAAAGTGGTCGCCTTCGGTGGGGAGCCAGGGCAGAGAAGGGAGAAGGAGGGTTACTCACGTCACACCTTACTAGAGACTGGAGGGAGGCATCGTGGTCCTCCTGCTACGCTAACGTCAGTGTGAACCCTTTTGCTGGTCACAAGTGACTCCGCCGACAAAGTCTGTGAGTCCACGAGGAGCCTCAAAACAAATTCTAGTTTGTTATCTTTGGGGGACAACACTGGCAATAAAGGGGAAGAATCGGGCAATTCTCCTGCCTGTCTTACATGAGCTGTACCGCCGGATGACCGTGTGACGAAGGAGGGCAAGTTTCTCTCCATCAAACAATGAAAAAAAGGACGTTTTCATTAGAATATCAGCCATCTGGCAACCCTAATAAATTAACGGACTTAGGGAAACACGTCGAACCGCACCACGGGGACAGGACTGGCGAAGTCCGGGCTGGAGAATTCTGTAGGTCTCATGACCTCTGTGCTCAGCAACCAGAGCGCAAGGAAGAAAATGAGATGTTGGGGGAGCACGTAGATTGAGACTCGAGTGAGACGTATGTGAAAGAAAGAATGAACTAAACATTAGTTTTAGGAATGTGTATTTGGGCGGACGCCTGGGTGGCTCAGCGGCTGAGCCCTGCTTTCAGCTCAGGGAGTGATCCTGGGGTCCTGGGATCGAGTCTCGCATCGGGCTCCCCACAGGGAGCCTGCTTCTCCCTCTGCCTGTGTCTCTGCCTCTGTCTTTAAAAAAAAAAAAAAAAAAAAGGAATGCATATTTGGGCGGAGAACGATAAAGTAAGGTGTGGTTTCCATAAAAGTCAGGACGCCACCTCCGTGAGGGCAGGAGGACTGGGACGTGGCCAGAGTTAAGAGAGGCTGGCAGTCTTATTTCTTGATCTGGACAGTGGTTACAGAGTGGCTACTCTAGAACAATTCACTAAGCTCCACGTTTGCGTTTTGTGTCTTATTTGACAATAAAAATAAACGGATTTAAAACCGGAGTTAACACCCCCTTGGTCAGGAGGGGAAAAAAAAAACACAACCCAAACCCACACAACCTCATTACTTAGATACTGAAGATTTTTTCTAGGCTGTTCTACGTTGACCAGACTAAAAGATGTTTGGCTGAGACGAGACCCAAATCAGGCCGTGACCAGAGAGAGAACAAACCCCCGGGGACCAACGTGTGCAGGACTCGGCCGCGCCACCTGCCCACACCACGTTATCACCACAGCCGCGACATGTTCCAGGGAAATGGTGAAAAACTTGATTCAACAAATCGGCACCTGATCTGCAAGGCTGCAGCCGCGCCTCCCCAGACAGGGACGGTGCTGGCCTTGTCCGTGAGGCGGGGACGAAACGTCCGGGACGGAGCCCACTGGAGGGTCATTGGCCCCTGCCTGGGGAGGGACCCAGCAGAGCTCGTGGGCACTAACGTGAGCCCCCATCAGGGAAAACACTCCATCCCCGCCCGGACAAACGGCCACCTTTCACCCCAGGGAGAACAGCTCAAGGTGTCGCAGGAAGTCTCTTGGGCCTCAGGTGGGGTGGGGTTGAGACTCGGCAGCCGTGGAGTGACAAGGCCGGGCAGGATTTTCAGCCCTTTTCACCACCTTTCCAACCCAGTCTTCTGGGAGGACTTCTCTCCGTGGCTGCCTCTGAGCACGGAGATGGACGAGGGGGCCACATGTGCTTTTGAGCCACCTGTTCGGGAACGTGCGAATCGGGGACTTACGTGCCATTGACCTTAGAGACTGTACACAGGTCATTCTGTATTCGGGAGACCATTTTCAAAAAAAAGGGGATGTGATACAGAAAAGTATTTTAAGCAAAAAGAACACCCATTCTGTTTTGCACACGACGGTCCCACTAAATTCTGGTGTAAATACATAAGACACTTCTATTTCTGCCTCAGGTCAATAAGCACGATTCACGTTAATATAAATAAACCCTTTCTCAGCCAAGGATGCACCGTCCAGCTGGTGTACAAATTACGTGTGCCCGTTTGTGATTTGTGAGCTTAAGGCTTCGGCCAGCCTTAAAACTGGCATCTCTCTAAGGACAGGGACCAGAGGAATCACTGCCAAGAGGAAGAGCGCGAACAAGGAGGCTAACAGGTCTGGAAGAGGGAAACCAGGCTCAGTGCCACAGACGTTCCTGTGAGCCCTCAAGTGCCAAGAAGGAAATGCCCGGCAGGTCAAGGAGTGGTGGATGCTCAGTGGTTCTGAGAGGGGCGTCTCCCGCCACGGACAGCCACGCCATTCACCCGGCATACCTTGCGCCACGTGCAGCTCAAAGTTGCTCGCTGAGAGCTCGTACAGGCCCTGCTTGCGCTCAGGGGCTCTGGGCGGTTCTGCTGCTGGCTCTGGTGTCTAATGGGGAGAAACAAGACAACGGTCACTGGGTTTCCATGCAGAGACGTAGTGAGACCTGCTGAGGAGGAGACTCGTGTCTGTCTAGAACCTTCCACAGGCCTCCTCCCTGACCTGGCTACATCAGACTCCGTGGGATGCTGCTGTGTGGAGGGAACCCGAGGCGGGAATCCACGCTCCAGCAGGAAGCCCCTTGGCGGCATCCCCACGGGGACACAGCGGGCAGACACAGGGGCCAGGCCCACCCCAAGGGACACACCGCCCGCTCCCTGGCGCAGGGCCTCCGATCCCCGGGGAGTTCGAGGTGAACTCCCCGAGCGCTGGCCCCGAAGAGCGGTGAGGGGCCTTCTGGGGGACACGTCTGCCGGCACCAGAGCAGGAGCCGTCCTGTCACCGCAGCACCACACAGCGGGGGCCTCAACCCAAGCACCTGAGGCGACAGGGAGCCCCGCACGGGGGGCGGGTGCCACTCAGGTCCTACCTGGCCACGCCTATTTCTCCGAAGGACAACATCCAGGTGAAGCCATGAGGAGTGCTGATGGCGCACGGCCGGAGGCTGCAGGAGGCCTGCGGTCCCACCTGCTCCCGGGCCGCGCCGCAGCCCCTGACGGCAGCCTGCCCTACTCACCTGCGAGTGGCCTGGCTTGGTTGGCCTTGCAATTTTGTCTGGTGACAGGTTTTTAAAAACCTCACGCTGGGGGATCCCCGGGTGGCACAGCAGTTGAGCGCCTGCCTTCGACCCAGGGCGTGATCCCGGGGTTCCGGGATCGAGTCCCACATCAGGATCCCTGCTGGATCCCGCTTCTCCCTCTGCCTGTGTCTCTGCCCCTTTCTCTCTGTCTTACATGAATAAATAAATAAAATCTTTAAATAAATAAAAAAAAAATCTCACTCAAAAGTAGGAAAAGATGTCTTTCACAAAGATTATCACATTCCTTGAGCACTTCTGATGGAAAAATTGTAAATGACCTAAATATCCATTGACAAGAAGGAGCTGAGTTCTGGCAAACCCACATGACAGTATCAAATATGATACATACAGGGGCGCCTGGATGGCTGGGCAGTGGGGCGTCTGCCTCCGGCTCGGGCCAGGGTCCCAGGATCGAGTCCCACATTGGGCCCCCCACATGGAGCCTGCTCCTCCCTCTGCCTGTGTCTCTGCCTCTCTCTGTGTGTCTTTGTGGATAAATACATAAGATCTTTAAAAAATATATGATCAATATAAAGGTAACTGTATAAAAATATCACTTGTGAAAAGACATTTATATGGTTTTAACTATTTAAGAAAAAAATACAGAAGCAAATAGGGAAATTGAAAACTTAAAGTAGCAGGTTTTCTTTCTCTTTCTTTCTTTCTTTCTTTCTTTCTTTCTTTCTTTCTTTCTTTCTTTCTTTCTTTCTTTGAGTTTCTCTACTATTGCCACAACACTGGGTGGGGGCAATCTAAAGCTATCCTATTTCAATACACAAAAAACGTATACATCGAGTTACTGAGGTATAAATACGGATGAAGAACTTTTTAAAACGTTTTCACCTCCAATAAAAAGCAAGTTCCAAATTGAAAAGAATTTTCGGTTTGCAATATAAGTTGGGCGTATCTGAACTTTCCTACAATGAGGCACACCGTTACTGTTCCCAGCGATTGTGGGAGCGAGGGCAAGGGGCGCAGGTGGACCCCAGCAGCCAAGCCCCCCACCGGAGGGGATACCCGCTTGGGCTCAGGACGTCTCCGCCGCCAGCGGGCAGAGGCCCGGCCTCGGTCCTTCCCCGCCTGCGCTGGGGCTGCCACGGCCTGAGAGGGGAGCTCAGTGCACTAGACGAAGTCCCTCTGCCGTCCTCACGTGCCTCCGGGTTTCCTGAGCAAAGCCGTCACAGAAGACTGGCATTTTGGTGCCAGAGAACGATGAGAAAAGAGATCAACGTGTTTGTGAGACTACTGACTTTTGAAAGCTGGTCTCCTCCAATCAGAGAACATTTTCACAGAGGAAACCAACTGAAGTTTAAATCTGTATGAAAGGGATCCCTGGGTGGCACAGCGGTTTGGCGCCTGCCTTTGGCCCAGGGCGCGATCCTGGAGACCCGGGATCGAATCCCACGTTGGGCTACTGGTGCATGGAGCCTGCTTCTCCCTCTGCCTGTGACTCTGCCTCTCTGTCTCTCTCTGTGTGACTATCATGAATAATTAAATAAAATCTTTAAAAAAATAAATAAATAAATCTGTATGAAAGTTCCACCTGCCCATGTAACTCTCTGGCCCTGACGAACATGCAGATGGACTCTGAGGGCTTGTGGCTTTCCCCGTTACCTAAAGTTAGATGAAGTCTCTGCTCAACCCTCCTTCGAGGCCTTGCACCATGCAGTTAGCTGCAGCCTTGGTGAGCACGAGGGGACCCGGCACCAGAGTAGCAGGTGCACTTCCGACAGCCTGTGACATCTATGTACAACGTGGTGACAGCCAGAGGACCACGCAGTCACCCTGGGCAGTGACCCTGACAGCAGCAGAGCCCCCAAAGCCTGCTGGTCCCCCATGTGGGCGCGGACCACCTTCGAGGCAGCGAGCGCCCACCTCCGGCCCTAAAGCCGTCTCACTGAACCATTCTGTTGAAGTTAGACTTCAGGGGCTCTTATTTCGTCAGAATCCTACAGCACGGGACGCTGGCCATCTTTCCAGACCCTCACGACACAGCGCCATGAGCCGTCAAACCCAACCCAGCCTCCGGAGCATCTGCGTTAAAGCAGAACATGCCGCACATGAAGGGACGCTTACTGGATGCTTTATGATCGTACTAATTTGTGATACAAAACTAAGACCCCCAACATCAATTGGAGGGGGAGAACTGTAGAATTTTCTTAGTAACATTCTACAAACAGCTGCATCTTTAGAAATTCTCTCAGAAATCCCTACAGTCTCCACACCGCCCTGATCTCACTACCCTGAGGCCAGGGAGGGCAGACACTGAGAATATTAAAGATATTTATTAAATGACGTTATCGGCCACGCTGGCGAGCACTTCGGTCCTCAGAGTCCAGAGGAAAAGGAGGAGTTCACACAGCAAGAAAAGGCGGGAAGTTGGCCTGGACTGGATATTTGGGCTTAGGCCTGGCCCTGACCCCGAGTCAATCCGTGATGCTAAAGAATTAGCATCACCTGTATACGTGTGAGCGCGGCACAGAGGTTGATGTTAAAAAGTACTAAGTGCACCTCTGTGAGATATGCCCTGGGGTGTCCACAGATGATGCTCTCCGAGGGCTGACTCCGCAGCCAGACAAGGGCACAGCACAAGGTCGGCAAGACGGGGAGAACCGGTAGAGTCGGGGACCATGGTCATCCTCCCCCTCGTTCACGCACTGCTCATTACTCTTCTCTCTACTCGTGTGCGTGTTTGAGTATTTCCATAATAAAAAGCTCTGTCGGTAACAGTTCACCTTTTTCCACTACGCTACTCAGAGCAGTGAGAACAGAGACCAAAAGAAGGGGTTGCAGAGGGGCGGGGGGCGCTGGGGTGGGGAAGGTGAGGGGGGGCTGGTGTTCAGTGGAGACGAGGTTTCGGTTCTGCAAGGTGAAGAGAGGGCTGGGGATGGCTGCGCAACAGGGCCAGCGCGCCGACCACCACCGGATTTGTGTGCTCAGAAATGGCTACGATGGTAAATTTCGTATCATGTATTTTACCACAATAAACAGAAACTGGGAAGGGAAAAAGAGTCCCTTTCTACCTACAAACGTCAATTCATTTCTAAGACTATAAAGGTGCTTCGAAACGGGACCTTACCGGCCTCTTTACTACCCCAAACTGTAGGAAGGGAGAGAGGACGGGAGGCGGGGAGGCCTCCTTGCACTCACCGCAGGCTCCTCATTCAGCGTCTGCAGCATCCAGTTCTCCAGTGCCTGGAAATCCCGAGGCCCCTGGTACTTCACAGCTTCCTGGCCAGGTTTGAAAAACTTCAAGCTGAAAGGTCAAGAGAGGACAAGACAGAGCAGTTTTCAACAGGTGGGAGCGCTCCGAGTGGATGGCACTGTCCCGTTGGGACCCCTCAGTGGGCCGCACGCAGCCAGGCACGGGCCTGCCACCCTCCACTAGACCTCAGAAAGACAGGGAAATGATGTCCCGGGAGAAAACATATCCACCTAATCCCACACTTTTAAGAAGTCCCTTAACTTATTCAAGAAAAATAAGACCGAGCAGAACACATGAAGTCCAAGAGGCTGTGAACGAAACCCCAAACCACTGGGGTTTGGGTGACAGGACTTCCAGGCTTTTCCTTGCTAGGTATTCATCATCCTTCCCAGGCTTTAGTAGTTCTTACAGTCTTACAGTTTTTAAAGAAAACAATTTATTGCCTCTGCTTTTCTGTCTCTCATGAATAAATAAAATCTTAAAAAAAAAAGGGGGGGATCCCTGGGTGGCTCAGCGGTTGAGCGCCTGCCTTCGGCCCAGGGCGTGATCCCGGGATCTGGGGATCAGAGTCCCACGTTGGGCTCCCTGCATGGAGACCGCTCCTCCCTCTCCCTGTGTCTCTACCTCTCTCTCTCTCTCATGAATTAATAAAATCTTTAAACAAAAAATTTAGAACTGTAGTAGACATAGTACTGTTTGGCAATAAATGTATTTCCGGGCTACCCTGTCAGCTCTTCGACTCTTACAAAGCATGAATGTCCAGGTTCTGGGAGAATTTACATTTCCAGCATGAGAACAGCCTTGACATTGCTTGATACGGTCTATCACTTCCCCTATGGAGCAGGAATTTTCTTTTTCCATGTAAATTAGCCTCCGAAGGGGGCTGCAGATAGAATGCACAGCCCTTCCTCTGGTGGCCTGGCAGGAGGCCCTGCCGGGGGCGGGAAGCACACTTCCAGATCCTGTGCCATTCGACCGGTGACGGTGACGGAAAAACAGACTCTAGATAGCGCTTCACAGGAGGCGTCGAGGATGCAGCAGGAATATACAGCTACCACAGAAGGAGGGAAACAGAGGTCAGCAGTTTTGGGCGCCTCTTCCTCCAAATCACTCTGCGCTGTGCGGCACACGTGTGGGCACTGGTGGCAGAGGCCCAGCGGCCAGGGCGCAGCCTCAGAACTCAAGGTACCTGGGCTTCGGCGCCGCAGGGCTGAAGAGCTAACTCCCCAAGGCCTCAGAATGAAGGTTCGAGACCAGCGCGTTAGCTGGAAGAGGCGGTCGGATCCCCGCGGGCTCACGGGCCTTCCCCACCCTGAGATCGTGCAGCTTCGGCGACGTCACCACGGGCCTCCGGGGAGAGTTCGGGCCCTGCCTCCTCGGGAGCTCGGACCTTTATGGCCCTCCCAGCCGGACTCCTGGCAGCCTGGCTACGACCCCGCTACTTCACCAACTTATACGTGGTGAGCAGCTCAAGGATGATCTCACGGTTACAAACGCCAGCACCCACCCCTGGGACCTCCCGAAGCTCTGGAAACCTGCTGTGCCCGCGAGAGCTAGAAGATGCTTAGTGGAGTCCTCCCTCTCCATGCCCACCCCCCCCGTCTCTCTTCCAGGGGGGCCTCCCTCACCAGGGCTCTTCAGAGTGGAAAAGGCCTGGAGCCACCGGCACCATCGGGCCCATTCCAATTCTTTGCTAACATTAAAATGCAGTAAAACCTCACCTGTGATTTTTTTTTTTTTCTGATTTGGTGTGTGCTAAACACACAAATAATTTTTTGAAATCTCTTCTCGTTGGATTAGAAATCTTTGTAGCCTGCCCAAGCCAGAGGCTCTTCCTTAAGTTCACAGAGCCGAGGGATAGAATTAGGGCTTCCTTTACAGACTGTCCGGGGCATCTGGCCCCAGTTCTCGCTGTAGATGGGCTGAGGGAGGCGATGGGGAGACGGCCACAGGGTACGAGCCCAAAGGACAGCCCCAAACGTTTCCCGCTATTTCTAAACTGCCACATGGGTGTTTGCTCTTCCTGGTGATCTGTTTTTCTTTCAAGGAGACGGCAGGGGAGAAAAAGCTCCATTAGTGGGTCACTCTGGAAATCTAGGATCGCAGTCCTAGCGCTACAGAAGAGGTGGTGTTACTGGCTGACTTGGGTTGCCCAAAGCCGACCTGTTGAAGTCCTAGCCGCCTGTCCCTCAGAATGTAGCCTTATTTGGAAATAGGATCCTTACAGAAATAAGTAAGTGACAATGAGGCTACGAGCCCCTAATCCAGCATGTCTGGGGTCCTTATAAAAAGGAGGAAATTGGGACACCTGGGTGGCTCAGCAGTTGAGCATCTGCCTTTGGCTCAGGGCGTGATCCCAGGAACCTGGCCGGATCGAGTCCCACACTGGGCTCCCTGCATGGAGCCTGCTTCTCCCTCTCCCTATGTCTCTGCTTCTCTCTGCGTGTGTCTCTCATGAATGAATAAATAAAATCTTTAAAAAAAAGGGGGGGGGGATTTGGACACAGAGAGAGCCATGTACAGAGGAAGAATGCCGTGAGGATAGAGGTTTGGGTGCAGCCACCACCAGACGCTAGGCAGAGGCAAGAAAGGATTCCCCTCTGGGTTTCAGAGCGCTGTTGGCCTCCCCAACCGTGAGACGATAAATTTCTGTTCTCTTCAGTCACCTGGTTTGCAGTGCTTGTGTCAGCAGCCCTAGCAAACCTCCCCCAGATGATGCGGATTCCTTACCGGCTCAACAGCATGACCTCAAAACACTTTTCTAAGCACCCTGAGAAATCCTAGGAGAATGGGAACCCCAACTCTCTCCCCGTGCAACCCTTTATTTCAGTGGGAGGACCCATGGCTAGAAGGACCCCACACCGTGTGCTCAGGCATTTGCATCCATCATCTGCTGCATCTCCCTGAGATGGGCACCGCGTCGGGGGAAGCAAATCTCACACAGGTCAATACGTGAATGCCTGGCGGGACCAGGGTTAACGCGGTGCACCCTGCCTCCTGCATTCCCCAAAAGAAATCTGTCCTCCAGCACTGGCTCAGGGCTGTGAGGGTCGCAGAGGAATGTCCTTCCCAAACAATGTTCACCGTCGTGCGAGCTCACTTCAGTTCTTTTTAAGGACACAAAACCAGTGCATGGTGTTCTCGGGGAGACCGTATCTCCTAAATCAGGACACGTGATTCAACGGGGCTCTTTAAAATCTGAGAATAATGGGGCACCGGGGCGGCCCAGTTGACTGAGCATCCCACTCTTGATTTTGGCTCAGCTCACCATCTCAGGGTCAGGAGATTGAGCCCCACGTCAGGCTCTGTGCTCAGCTTGGAGACTGTTTGTCCCTCTCCCTCTGCTCCTCCCCCCGCTCCACCTCTCACAAATAAATAAATGAAATATTTAAAACTCTGTGGATAACATCTATGGAGCAAGTGGTGTCGCAGCCAGATAGCTCAGATGACCAGGTCGAGGTAGAACCCTCTGCCGCCCCTTCACACTTGCTCTGCTCAGCCTCACGAGGCCTGCCTCCCTCCCGGTGGTGTGGCTGGTGACACACACGACCACATGGCCACACTCGGCCCACTCCTTAAGAGTGGACACCATAGCCTACCATCTCCGTTGCCTCTGCACCTTGAAAGGAACGGGCTCTCAACAGGTAAGCATCAATCTCCTCACCTGGACCCACCACTCAGACCTGGCTTCCTGGCAACGCTCTCCGTCTATGCGGAGTTTCCTTTAAAGGCAACGCTATGAAGCATGGGACAATGATGCCTCTAGGTAGGTGCACGTGGTAGAAAATTTTCTCTACTGATCTGATCTGAATGATGGCACTTAGATCAGCAGTGGTCACCAAAGACCAAGAATTCTAGCGTCCTTTGTGAAAATGCCCAATTTCCTAATGTTAGGGGGAAACCTTAGACGTTTACTATGTGTGTTCAGATCAGTGTCTGCAAACATGTTATTTCATCTAACAGTGTTACTGGAGGGGGTGGTATCAACATCCTTCTTCAGACTCCAAGGTTAAATAGTGTGACCTGGGCTGCGTGATAATTAAAGGGTAGGACCAGGATTCTGAAGTGGCTTTTAGGTTCCAGCCCAGAGCTCCCTCCCCTCTTCTGCGCTACACTTTTTCATGCTGGCTCTCGGGTCTGAAGACAGGCCCAGGTTTTACAAGAATTTCCTTCTTTCATCAACACGAACCAATATCTGGGGAGTGCAGTGGCCAGCACCCCGCCATACATATGGAAATAGCACCTTCACTCTACCACCTGCATGTGGTCTGGGGGGGGGCTGCTGCCTAAGATACCCTGCCCCTTTGGCCACAAGGACTGCACAGAACATTCCATTGAAGCTGGGCAATCGGTGGTGAGCCCAAGCCCACCGTGACTGCGAGGGATGCAGGGCTGGAAGGGTTAGTCACTTACGGGACTAAACGGGGCCCTAAACCCTTGGAGGAGCTGAGCCTCAGAGCTTCTTCCACCGCCTTCCATTTCATCCCCTTTTGCTTACTGGGCCAGTTTCAATTTCTGTCTCTTAAGACCCCACCCCCCACCCCCCAAAATTTATTTTAACAGTCAAGGCCATAAGGAACGCCGCTTGTTAGAACGACTAGATTCCTCTGTCCCCTTTCCTTCCAACAGAAGCAGCCCTGCGCGCGTCGCTTGGGAACTTACTCCAGGAAGGATGCTCGACAACAACAGAAGTGACCAAAGACTCAAAGTAAAACGGATGACAAAGCTTGCTCGTGGGGTCAAGGTACTTGTGAGCATCACGGCTGACAGGACGCCGCGGAGGCCACCGTTTCTGCTTCTTACACTTACACACACACACACACACACACACACACACACACACTCTTAGAAACAGGAAAACCCCACACGGATTAATGAAAGGCGTTTTCCAAAGCCCAAGAAGGCATTTCTTCTTGCGTGAGGGACAGCCCTCTGGGCTTAGCTTCAGCGCCGCCCCCCCCTCGGACCACAGAGTGGGCTACCAGAAGCCTAGCGTGGGGCGCGCAGGGGACCAGGCCCCGACTTACGTGGGGTATCCTCGCACGCCCTGCTCGGAGCACACGTCTGAGTCAGCCGTGCAGTCCACCTTGGCCACGTAGACCTTGGCGTCCTCCATGCTGTTGTACTTGTCTCCCAGCTCGTTCCAGGTAGGCTGCAGCCGCTGGCAGTGTCCACACCTGGAAGCGGGTGAGGGGACGCTGAGTCCCGGGCCGGAGGACGCCAGACCCACCTCTGTGGGTGTCACTGCAGCACCCTGCCCTGCCGCCACCCCCAGGGAGCCCCTGCGGGGTTCCCAGCCCCAAAGGGACACCCAGCAAGGCACTGGGCCTGCCACCCACCATGCTCGAGGCCTGCGGACCTCCCCTGCTGCTCGCCTGCCCGTGCCATCTGTCCCGGAGCCAAATGCTACTACCCACGCTTTCCGAAAGGGCCCTGCTTTGGCCTGCCCCCCAGGAAGCGGTACCAGGCTCCCTCGGACACCGCCTCTCTAGGCCCACCTGGGCAGACAGGAATTTGCCCTTCAGGTTTAGTTTGGGTGTCACTTCCTCCAAGAAGTCAGCTCTGACTTCCCAGGCTGCTTGGTGCCCTTCTCTTGTTCTGGAAAGCTCCCTGGCTCCCCGCTCTCCTGCAGCAACTTTGCACTGCTCACCTTAATCGCTCCTTTTTAGCTGAGACTCTCCTAAATAAGTATCTGCAAATGCAGATAGAACTGACCATCTTTACTTATCAGCTGCCTGCAATGCCTTATCTAAAGTCTGCATGAGCCGGGACTGGAAACTTGGGTCTCTGAGCCTCAAGGACAGTCACACAGAATTACAGCCTGGGGGGGGGGGGGGTCATTCACCTAGTGTGTATTCACAATGTCTACAAAGGAACAAAGTTGCCCTATTGCTTTTCAAAGTGATCTTTAAAATGTGTGCTTATATGAACGCCCCGACATTGAAAATGGTCCATCTGTCCTCAAAGTAACTTCTTTGAAAATCAGTGTTAAATTACGTCTCTCTCTCTCTCTCTTTTTTTTTCCTCTGCCTCTTTTCTTTTCTGACAGTTGACCTCCATAACAAGCACCGAAAGGTAGCCCTGGACAAGTCGGCTTCAAGCTAATGTGGCTTCCCTGTGCAAGCACTTTCCTGGCCAGCAAAGAGAACCCCTGCTTTACAAGAATCTCAAATACAGTATGATTCCTTCTTTCCTGGACGGTAATTGTGAGGGAAAACCAGTGTTACATGTAAGTTATACTGTTATGTATTAAGTTACATAATTTATATGGTGCAAGTGCCATGTAGACAAGCACTGTTCTTTTTACAGCTGTACTCCCAGCACTCAGCACATGCTTGGCAGGTACTAAGCTCGGCAATTTCTTAGTGATGGATCGATCCGTAGGTGCCATGTGGTCGGCACCTCTGGTTGGGCCCCTTGTGGCTCTAGCATGAACCTCTGAGACAGTAGCTACATTCAGAAGGCAGTCTGTGGCCATGTAACGGAGCAAAGCCACCTGGTGCCCCCCCAGGAGGTGGCCCCAGCCTTGACCTCATTGTCCACCAGATTCAAGGTGACCCACAACTGGCCATACAGAAGCTGTGGCCTGATGTTAATGCAAAATCTACAGCAGAGGGACGTCCTTACATCCACCAAGTTCAGAGCAAAAATATGCAGAGCAATATTTTTGTTACATGCCACCCCTGCCCCCAGATCACATGTGGGCTTCTAACATTCCAGAGACGGAAACTGGAAAGAGATGGGGGGGAAGGGGTAGCCCACAGCACGTTCTACGTGAGCTCCAATGTGTTCTTAAAGTCAGGCTTTTAAATGCCATCAGAGAAACCACGCGTCTCTATTTAAGTATATTGTAGTAGACTCTTAAGAAGAGGGAAAAAACCTTCAAAAGTTAATTTTTCTGGGAGCGTCCACCTAGAAAAGGAATTTCCTTAATAGCAAATGCCCAGATTTGCCAGTCTTGTGCCTCACTGCGTCTAGGACTAGCTGTAGGTATTACTGAGACTCCAAAATTAAAACTCCATCAGCACTGTATGGACTTTATATGTCTATGGGTCAGTTTTTTAAAACAATAAAGAAAAACAACCCATGGGCTTATCCCACTGAAAAAGGCTCCCATTATGTAGCTTATTAACTGGAGTAGTTACTCTGAAAATACTCCTTCACAGAAGAACTATGAATAATGAACGATTATTTGTTGCTACAAAGTATCTTCTAGGCCACGGGCAGCTCTAAAACCTCACCTCCGGCCGGTTCTTGGGCAGTTGAAACACAATGAACCCGAGATACTTTGTTAATAAGTGACAGCTCTGACCCAGACCTGCCTCCCCCCCACCCCCGCCCCAGAAGCTGATTTATCTCCAAAGAACTGAAATGCACGAACAGCCTGATTATGGAAAGAAAAAGAAAAAAAAAAGTTTCCTCCAACTTCCGCCCGCACATTTTCGGAACAAGCCGGTTTTTCTTGGGCATCTTCTCCCGGTTCCTTCCTACATCCCTTCCCCACGTCTCCGCGAGCCTCTCTCCCGCTCCGGGGAAGCATGCCCGATGCTGCCGGGAGCCTGCGAACCGCCTGGGCCCTGGAGCCGGCTCCGGGCTCCTCGCCGGGCATCTGGGCTCCCGTGCGTCGGGAGGCCCCGGAGGCCGGGTCCCGGGGGGGGGGGGGGGGGGGGGGGGTCGCCGCGACCGGCCCAGCGGAGAGCCCGGGCAGGAGGAGCCGGCTGCGGAGCTCGCACTTTGCAGAGGACCGGGCCCCACGAGAGCAGCGGGGTGGAGGTGCGGGGGGGGGGGGGCTGCAGGGGGGCGGGAGCAGAGGACCGGGCCCCACGAGAGCAGCGGGGGGGGGGCTGCAGGGGGGCGGGAGCAGAGGACCGGGCCCCACGAGAGCAGCGGGGTGGAGGTGCGGGGGGGGGGCTGCAGGGGGGCGGGAGCAGAGGACCGGGCCCCACGAGAGCAGCGGGGGGGGGGGCTGCAGGGGGGCGGGAGCAGAGGACCGGGCCCCACGAGAGCAGCGGGGTGGAGGTGCGGGGGGGGGGGGCTGCAGGGGGGCGGGAGCAGAGGACCGGGCCCCACGAGAGCAGCGGGGTGGAGGTGCGGGGGGGGGCTGCAGGGGGGCGGGAGCAGAGGACCGGGCCCCACGAGAGCAGCGGGGGGGGGGCTGCAGGGGGGCGGGAGCAGAGGACCGGGCCCCACGAGAGCAGCGGGTGGAGGTGCGGGGGGGGGCTGCAGGGGGGCGGGAGCAGAGGACCAGTCCCCACGAGAGCAGCGGGGTGGAGGTGCGGGGGGGGGGCTGCAGGGGGGCGGGAGCAGAGGACCAGTCCCCACGAGAGCAGCGGGTGGAGGTGCGGGGGGGGGCTGCAGGGGGGCGGGAGCAGAGGACCAGTCCCCACGAGAGCAGCGGGTGGAGGTGCGGGGGGGGGGCTGCAGGGGGGCGGGAGCAGAGGACCGGGCCCCACGAGAGCAGCGGGGGGGGGGCTGCAGGGGGGCGGGAGCAGAGGACCGGGCCCCACGAGAGCAGCGGGTGGAGGTGCGGGGGGGGGGGCTGCAGGGGGGCGGGAGCAGAGGACCGGGCCCCACGAGAGCAGCGGGGTGGAGGTGCGGGGGGGGGCTGCAGGGGGGTGCCGGGAGCCCCGGGCACAGCTCCCCATCCACTCTGAGCTGCGAGGGGGTCCCCGGCCAGAGCTGCCCCTTCCCACCTCCGCCCCGGGCACGAGGTGAGCCGTGACGTCTCTGCGAGTTTCTGTGTTTTCCAAGTAACCCCCGGGGCAGGGACGGGCCTGCGGGGAGCGCACCCAGACCCCGCCGCACGTGGCCCCGGGCCCCCGCCCCCGCAGGCCGCCGCGCAGGAAGTTCGGGGGTGGGGTGGGGGCGGGGCGTGGGGGCGGGGCGGGGCCTCGGGGCGGGGCGGGGCCTCGGGGCGGGCGGCCTCCTCCCGGCGGTGGCCCGGGGCCCGCCCTCCTGCACCGCCGGCCGCCCTGCGCCACGTCAGCCGCGAGCGCCCCCCCGCCCCCGCCCCGGCCTGCCCCCCCGCGCCCCCCGCCCCCGCCCCCCTGCGTCCCCTGCCCTCCCCCGCCCCCCGCCCCCGCGGGCCCCGAGGAGCGCGGCCACTCACCAGGGCGCGAAGAACATGACGAAGTGCGCGGCGCTCCGGATCCCGTGCGTGAACATGTCGGCCGTGTACAGGTGCCTGGCGTGCGGGTCCTGGCCGCCCCCGCCCCCGCCCGCGCCCGCGTCCGCCTCCGCGCGGCGCCCGTCCTCCCCCCCCGCCGCCGCCGCCGCCGCGCCCTGGGCCCAGGCGCCCCCGGGCCCGCGCCCGCCGCCATCGCCCAGCAGCAGGAGCAGCGGCAGCGCGGCCAGGGCCAGCGGCGGGAGGACGCGTCCGGGGCGCGCGGGCATCACGGCGGGGCTGGCGCGCTCTCGCCGCCGCGGCCGGTCCCCTCCGCGCCCGCCGCCGCCCGCCCCGCCCCCGCCCCGCCCCCGCCCCGCCCCCCGCAGGCCGCGCCCCGGCCGCGCCCCGCCCCGCGCCCGCAGAGGCGGAGGCCCAGTCCGCGCGGAGTGGAGGGGGGGGAGGGGGATGGGGGAGGAGGGAGGAGAGAGGGGAAGGATGGGAGGGGAAAGGAGGGGGAGGGGAGGGGAGGAGAAAGGGGGAGGGGAGGGGTAAGGAGGGAGGGGTGAGGGAGGGGGAGGAGAAAGGGGGATGGGAGGGGAGGATGGAGGGGAGGGGTAAGGAGGGAGGGGTGGGGGAGGGGGAGGAGAAAGGGGGATGGGAGGGGAGGATGGAGGGGAGGGGTAAGGAGGGAGGGGTGGGGGAGGGGGAGGAGAAAGGGGGATGGGAGGGGAGGAGGAGGAGGGAGGGGAGGGCAGGAGTGGGGGAGGGGAGGGTGGGGGAAGGGGAGGGGGGAGGAGAAAGGGGGAGGGGGCAGGGGAGGGGAAAGGAGGGCGGAGAGGGGAGGAGAGGGCCTGCTCAGTCGAGGAGACCCCAGGATTTCGGGGCCAGAGGAAGAAAGCGCAGGGGCGGGGGGGGGGGGGGTGTTGGGCAGGAGCGGAGGAGAGGAGCGGGCGCGGCTTGCACCCGAGGAGCCCGGGGCTCGGTACTCGGTCGGACCCGGCTCACCCCGGGCCTGGGTCCCCGCCGTCCGGGTTGTCATCCACGCCCCGCCTGGGTTCCCTGGGTCGGAAAGCGTCCGCCCGCCCGCGGCCTCGCAGGACCGGGCACCGCCGGCTGCGGCCCGCACCCCTGCCCTGGAACGGGGGGGGGGGGGGGGTCGGGCCCTGCGCCCCCCGCCCGGTTCGGGCCGCGCCTCCCCGCAGGCGGGAGTCGGAGTCTCGCGGCCGAGCCGGGCACCTGAAGCTACATTTGGGGGAACCCCTGCCTGCGCCCGGGGGTCCCTTGGGGCCCTGGATCATCCCCGACCGCGCCATCTCCGGGCAGGTACCCTCGGCCCAACTCGGCCGGCCACCCGGAGGCCACCTTGAACCGCAGTTTGCCAGGTGCCCAACCATCAGTTTCCCCTCGAAAGCTCTTCTCCCGACCACTGCCACGCGCGAGGGGCACGCGCACCCTTCCCCACCGCGCACAGAAACACGGAGCTCTCCCACGTGTCAGCCCCTGCCCCTCACGCGTGAGCCCTCCGAGCCAGGGAGTGAAGCAGGTGCTTCCTCGCTCCCAGTGGCGCCTCCCAACCACCTCTCCCCTTCCTCCTGCAAAGGCCCCACCGCCCCTCGAGTTCTGCTGATGGGTGTGACGTCTGCTGCTCTTGCGGGCCTTGTCACCCACCCCCTCTGTCACCTAACTCCTGCCGGGTTCCATCTGACCCCCCACCCCGACCCTTCACTGAAGATTTGGTTCCTGGCTCACGGTATTCCTGGCCACCCCTTTCCTACCTTCATCTCTGGGGTCTTCAGCACCCAGGTGGGTGGCCGGCCTGTCTGTGTCCCTCGGCGACTCCTTCCCAAAGGGAATCCCTAGAACTTGTTATGACCTGAAACTGCACTGTCTCCAAAACCTGCATCACAGGCGTCCCCACTCCGCCCAACACCTCTTGTCCCTACCCATAGGCCGCTGGCTTCATGTGCCCTCCTCATGAGCCCCGAGCTCCTGACCCCACGTGCTCACTGCAGTCCACATTGCTGTGTGCCCCCTTGCCTCTTGACCAGATTGGATCCCGTGAGTTCTCATACTTGGTGCCGTGCCACGTTCCCTTGCAATGACACTGGCAAGGCCCGAGAAAGAGCTGGGTTTTGCTCTCTGCCGTGCTTTCACACCCCTACCAACAAAACCCACCTCCACTCCCCTCTTCACCTTTCTGTGGAACTTGACCTCACACTGCTCTCAGGAAACTGCAGCCCAGAGCACCAACTTTCATGTTTGCACTATCCCCCTTCTAGCCAAGGCCGGGCCTCTCTACAGTGCTCTAGAGCAATCCATGCCCAGCTGAGTAATGCACTACCCGCACCCCCCCCACCCCCCCACCCCCCGCCCCAGCCCCAGACATCCTGGGGGACCTGATAGGACAAATGAGACTTTGTGGATGTAATTAGATTAAGGATCTTGAGGTGGGGAGATTATTCTGGAACATCTACATAAAATGTAATCACAAGTGTTTTTAGAAGGGAAAAACGGAGGGAAATTTGACTGCAGGAGGCAGGCAGAGCACAGAAAGATCCGAAGATGCTCCGTGGCTGGCTTTGAAGTGGAGGGAGTGGCAATGAGCCGAGGAATGCAGCTCTGAAGACCGCAAAGCAGAGACATGGCCTCTCCCCTCGGGCTCAAAGGAGGGATCTTTGGCCCTACTGACAATGTGACTTTGGTCCAGTGAAGCTAATCTTGGACTTCTGAACCCCAGAAATGTAAGAGAGTAAGTGTGTGTTATTTAAGCCCCCAGATTCATTGCAGTTACTCAGAGCAGCCAGAGGAAACTGATACCATCTCAGCTCGCCTTTCCACGGGCTTTGCTCCTGCTAGTATCTTCTCTCTCTCTCTCTCTCTCTCTCTCTCTCTGGCAGGATTATGAACTGCTCTGTCTCTCCTAGACATTTCCACGCATGCACAACATACTTTAGGTCGCCTAACTAAAAGATAAAAAACATCCCTTAACCTCACAATCTCCCAGCTACCATCCCATTTCCTTACTTTTCTTTCACAGCAAGATCTTTCCAGAATTATCTGCATTTGGGGTGCCTGTCCGTTAAGTGCCTGACTTCGGCTTGGGTCATGATCTCAGGGTCCTAGGAGGGAGCCGGTGTCAGGCTCCCTGCTCAGTGGGGAGTCTGTTTGTCCTCCCTCTGCCCCTCCCCTGCTTGTGCACGCTCTCCCTCTCTCTCTGCCTCTCAAATCATTAATAAATTTTTTTTAAAGAAAAAAGAATTACCTGCATTTCACATCCCACTCATTCTTGAGTCCATGCCACTGTGGCTCCCACACCCCCCAGACCCCAGGTTCACCAGAGGGGTCCATACTGGCTCACCAGAGGAGCATTCTGCTCTCTTCGCCTCCATGGGCCTACAATCAACGTGGGCTGCATCTGGATCCACTCATGATGGGGACTGGTGGCAACTTCTCTGATTCGCCTCCCGCCTTACTCCCCACTCCTCAAGCCCCTCATCTCAACCCCTAACATGTTAGTTTCTGGGGGCTTAGCCTCCGACACACTTTTCTCTTGCTACACTCACGGGCCCAGGCGAGGTCCCTCAGAGCCATGGCTGTGGCTGTGGTCACCATGGGACCCACGCTGGTGACTCTGCGGTGCATATACCAGCAGAGACCTTCCTCCGAGCTCTCACTGTCGTCTCATTACCACCACTCGTTTATCTTCCCCGCGTGGCCCTAACCGAGCTCAGGACTCCCCATAGCCATCTGCTCCTCCTTCAGCTTCTCCACCTTGGTAAGTGCTGCTTCCCGGGGATTTGCTCACAGGCTGTGCACCTTCCATCCCATTTTCTTTATTGCTATGTCTCAGGCCGTACCCCGGCCATCAGCTCACACCAGCAGGCTCAGTCACTTCCATTTTTTTTAAAAAAAGATTTTATTTATTTATTCATGAGACACAGAGAGAGAGAGGCAGAGACACAGGCAGAGGGAGCAGCAGGCTCCGTGCAGGGAACCCGCTGTGGGACTCGATCCCAGGACCCTGGGATCACACGCTGAGCCGAAGGCAGATGCTCAACCGCTGAGTCCCCCAGGCGTCCCAGTCTCTTCCATTTCCGAAACCCTCCTCCAACAACTTGCTCCCACTACCGCCATATCACTTCTCATCGGGGCAGCGACGAGAGCCTCCTGATGTGACTCACGCATGGGTCCCTCCAGTCTGGTTTCATACAGAAGCTACAACTGACTCATAACAGGGTCACTTAACCCTTTTCTCTTAGACTGCCGTCCCAACTCCTTGCCTTGGCTTCCAAGGGCCTTCAGAAAAGGTGAGGTCTCATCCCATACCACTGTGCTCCTTGTTCCCCTAGATTCCAGCCCTTCTGGGTGATTCTTTTTTTTTTTTTCATTTACTTATTCATAAGAGACACAGAGAGGCAGAGACACAGGCAGAGAGAGAAGCAGGCTCCATGGAGGAAGCCGATGTGGGACTCGATCCCAGGACCCCAGTGAGCCAAAGGTAAACACTCAACCACTGAGGCACTCAGGTGCCCCCCTTCTGGATGCTTCTTAACACCCTCCACGTACAGTGCCCCAGGCTTGTTTCCTCTCTCTTCCTGTGACTGGCCTCGTTGCCCCATCAGCTCTCTCACCCCCACATCGCCTCCTCAGGGACACCTTCCCCGCATAGCCATCCAGAACAGCCACTCTCTGCTCACCCCATTGTCTCTGTCACTGTGCAGCGTAGTTGCCGCGTGGCCCTTTTCACAATCTGATGTCCTTGTGTTGCAGATGCACGTGCTAAGTTAGTTCACTGGCCTCGCCCAGCAGCCCCGTGAAGGCCAGCCCTCTCCGTCACGCTCACCGCTCTCTCCCTAGAGCCCAAAGGCCTGGCACATGGTAGACGCTCAAGTGCTGGGTGAAGGAGCCCATCTCCCAGCCCATGTCTCTCCCAGGCTCCAGGGAGACTAAACGACTTACCCTTTTGGAACCCCACCTCTGAGCAGCCTGGCTTTCAGCTCAAGAAAGCCTAAGAATGGAGAAATGGAGTTTTTATACCATGAACTGAACACAACTCTCTCAGGGAAGACTTTCCTGACCCCCATCAGGGGTCGGCCCTCACCCCCACGATGCTCTCACAATACCCATCCTTTCTCTTCATACCCCTGAAGAGAACAGTCATTATTTGTTTGTATAACTCTTTGTTTAGTGGCGGGCTTCCCCTGTGGACTCCATGGGGCCAGGGTTGTGAGCAGATGCCTGGTACAGGCACTTCTGCGTGGCTGCTGAATGAATACACGAAGAATTAAACGAACAGTCACAGCTGTTTGCTCT